ACCTGGTCAAAGAATGCAATAAGATTTGTCTGGCATGATCTGTTTTTGACAAACCCATGTTGGCTTTTGGTAATGACTTTGTTTGCCTCTAGGAGTTCGCTGATTCGTTGCTTGATTATCTTTTCCAAGATCTTCCCAGGTATTGAGATCAGGCTGATAGGTCTGTAGTTTCCTGGATTCATTTTTTTTCCTTTTTTGAAGATGGGAACTACAACAGCTCTTTTCCAGTCCTCTGGTAGTTGCCCAGTTTGATCTGCTTTCACCTGAGGAAGTTGACCAGGTCTTTGGGATGCTAAGCCCAGCCATCTGTGTGTTAGATCCATGCCACTCTTGCCTGATTAGTTTCTCTTAGGAAGAGACACGTGGCTGGGTTCAAGCAGTGGCAAATGCTTCCACCTACCTTGAAGAAAACAGCAGTTCAACCAAAAAGCTAATTCTGGACCCACCTGTACTGGATAAATTTTGTTCAATCTACAACATGCTTTTTTGGAGAAAAATTTTGTAGACTTACATCTTCAAAGGGCTCTGAAGGAAGCAAATCATCTGGCCTGCTGAAATCTGGGTTTAGATCACAACAGCATTGATTATGCTTATAGATGTCAGATTTGGTATAAGAGTATTGAAACAATTCTGGCCATTCTTTATCTCTTAGCAGCTTTTAATATTATTGATTATGGAATCCTTCTGGACCAACTGAGAGGACAGTTTTTGCACAAATACATCTTGTGTCTATTCCTGGATCAGGAGACACTGCTCACAGCTCCCTATTGGAATATTGCAATGTATTATATATGGTATTACTCTTAAAAAGCACTTGGAAGCTTCAGCTAGTGCAGAATGCAGCAACATGATGGTATTGGGCACCCCAGACTATGTCCATATAACATTGCTACATGAATTGCAAAGGCTCTCGATAGGTTTCTGGATGCCATTCATTGAGCTTGATGTTACCTTTAAAGTCCTACATGGCATGGTTACATGCAGGTTACTTGCAGTACTACCTCTCACTAATGCTTTCTGTCCATCCCACCGGATCTGGCACTGTGGGCATGCTCATGATTATGAATGAACAAAAAAGCAGTGGGAAAGGGAGTCACTTTTTACTTCCTTCTGTGTTTCCCTTTGAATTTCCTTGTGAGAATCTGGCAGAGAGCATCAGACATTTTCTTTACTTCCTCCCTTTCTGTTCCTCCCCTCTCTCCCTCCCTTTCTTCTTTCCTTCCTCTCGTTTTCTTCATATTTATTTATTTATTTATTTACTTCCTGCCTTTCTCCCTCCCTCCCTTCCATCCTTCCTTCCATCACACCCTTCCTCTCTTCTTTACTGTCCCTTCGTCTTCCTTCTTTCCTTTCTCCCCCCTCCCTCCCTAGAATTCCACTGACTTCCCCATTTATTTAGCTTGTGGGAAGCTTGCAGAGAGAAAGTCATTGGGGAAACCAGGAGACAATTAACTGTCTGTTGCTGGATGGGGTACTGAGGGTCAAGAAGAGTGTATGGGGTGACCAACAAGTGCTACATGGGTAGGGTAAGGTGTTTGGAAAGGGTGTGGGTTCAGGAAGTTCAGGGTGTTGAACAAGAGGTGCTGTACAAGCCAAGGAAGGCATGCAAGGGGCAGCACAGGTCGGGAGAGTTCACAGTGGGATAGCTTGGCCCAGGAAGGGTACATGAAGTTCCTTCCCCCCTCCTTTCCCTTTCCTTTCTAGCAGGCAAGAAAGGGGCTGCTGCTGGGTGGAGGATGAGAAGGATTAGGAAACTGTCACAGAAAGTTGAAAATGAAGATCATGTGACTGCTTCAGCAGCCAGTAGCACTGAAACAGTCACAACTTCCCCAAATTTCATTCCATCAGGAGACATGGCTCCATATTTTGGATAAATTCTGTAAGTTAGTCCATCTTAGGTACTTTAGTTCAAATATTGTTGTCCTAAGATACATAGTTGTGCCCAGTTAAAGGTCATGATGAGAGTTTTAGTAGTGTGCAGATAAGTAATCTGTTCACTGACAAAGTTTCAACTTTAATTTGTTTCAAGTCAATATCCATATTAAACTCCAAATGTAAATTTTTCCACCTTGTTTGATAACTTCTTAAAAATAATTCAATCTTTTACAGCAACCAAATTTTGTTTTATTGGGCCAATTTCATTCATGTCCATTAAATGACATTTCCACTCATTAAACTAAATGGGTATGTCAGTGATAAATGTCCCAAAAGATTAATAAAATGCCTTCTTGTAATTTAAAGCCACACAGTGCATGGTAACATTAATAGTATTAACTTACCTTGAACAAAATCCTAGTCTTTTAGATACACTATAATTGAAGGGGTTTTTTTTCAACTACAAAGGGTAGTTGTAGGGTAGGCAAGGCAGGTTGTATGACGTGTGTGAGTTCCAGCACCTTTTTTTTTTTTACAAAAAAAGCACTGACCTTAGGTATGGCAGAAATTAATCACTTTTTCCTTTCAATCTGCTGTGATTATCATGCTGTTACTGTGATCTTCAGCAGAGTTCATTAATGCTCATTGTGGTTTCCTGGCTTTCTTACATGCTGGATCCACTTTAAACATATGGCAAATGAATCATAAAATCATAAAAATGGCTGTGCTTTTGTTTGGAGTGCAACATATTGCTGTCCAATTTCCCTTCAGTATCTCTCTGGCTTCATTAAACATGCCAGTTCAGCTGCCCAATCCAAAATCGAACTATGGATGAGGGCAGATCTATTAAACATTATTCTGGCATTCAATAATAGCAACTAGAGTTGGGGATCCAAGGACCTGGCATCAGAAGTAAATAATGAGGGGTGAAAGTGGGAATGATCTCAGCCATGGGTCTTCTATCCTTGTGATTGGCCCGCCTGCAGACTTGTGCCATTATTCCTCTGTCTGTCATGATCAAGATGGTATTGCTTGCCCTTTGCCTACTTCTCCTCCCCCTACTTTCACCCCACCCCCACACTTCCAGACCATGGAATCCATCCAACCACAATAGGCACAAACACAGAGACACACACCAACAACAACAAAGCACAGTAACTTCCCTCAATAGCTCCCATACTGTACTCAAGCATTCAGCAACCTGAAAACTGCTCTACTGAGACAGTTAAACCAATAATCCACATGCAACCCCTAAAATTATTTAAATAAATTGATCAGTAGATCAGTATTTACATTTTGCAAAAATAATGAAGCAGTGGATATTTTGCCATTTATTATAAATCAAATGGGGATGGTTTTCCATTTCTTTTACGAAAATTACCAAGTAATTATTGGACTATATACACTGTGGTAGTAATTTGTATGTACAAGTGTTCATCACCACACAGATATTAGTTTCCTGGTTTAAGTATTTTCCTCAAATGTTACTTTTTCCCCCTTTGGTTTTTGAAGGAATATTATTACTATACACACACACAAAACTTCATTTTTCTTTTTCCCTACTTTTTATTCAAGTTCATTATAAGATAAAATACAAATAGAAACAAATATTGAGAAAATTAAAGAAAGAAAAAGAGAATTGTAGAAAGAAGTGAAAGTTTAAGATAAGAAGTTTATCTGTACAAGTATTGCACTCTAGAAACCTAGAAAAGATTCAGGTTGGCAATTCAGCCTTCAAATCATTCTTGTTCTCCTTAAAAAATGTTTTTAAATGGTTCCAAGACAGTTCACAAGGCTTGAAAATGAATAGATAAATTAAAATATATAACATTCCATAAAAAGCCGTATATATGTTAATCTAGTTTTTGTTCTTTACGGTAAGCCTGGCTGAAGCCACTAGATTTCAAACTATGATAAAATGCAATAGTCTCTTCCTGCCAAGTTTGGGCCACTGAAAGATGCTGCCTTACTCTGTGATAAACCACAAGACACAATATTATTTCCTGAATATTGAGCAGCAGATGTATTAGTCACTGTTTTGTTCTATACTAAATAACTATCTTTTTTTCATAAAAGGACAGTGGCATTTCCAGCACCTTTAAGTTCCTCCCCTCAGAAGAAACCCTTCAGAATTGTAGAGGTACTCAGTAAAAGATGATATTTTAAACTAAAATGCTAGCTGTGAAATGTGCAACCAAAAGTTTCAAGTGGATTTTCATTTCAATCAGCATTTTACAATAACTCATCGGGCTAAGTCTTCACTAAAGTCATTTTTGGGGAAACTCCAAAACTTATCAAGATCAACTTTTTAAAATTTCCGCAAGCCTGCCTTGATTTTGAATGCTGATAAGGCCACTCCTGACCTCAGTGTTAGTATATGACGCTGTTATAACACAGGAATACGACAGAGCTGATTAACCTAACAGAAGAAAGAGAGATGGACAAAAAGCAGGCTGAGCAAAAGGACTCATCATCCTAAAGAGAGAGAGGGAAAAAAACCTAGAAGCAAACAGAAGAATATCAGTGAAATCCTTAAAATTCTGAAGCATAAGTTCTTTTGGGTAAATATGTCTAGATACTTCCAAATAAGTCTTTTGTTGTTATAATTGTCATGCTTCGGTCATAAAATCTTATAGTTCAGTCTGACAACTATATTGTTCACTTTAAGTTTTCAGTGCTTTCTCCATATTTTTTATTTTAAAAAATGGAAAAGATGCAGTGATAGAAAACATCTATCCAGAAGCACTACACTTTTAGCTGATCACTAATTAGATTGAAAAATGTTCAATTATATGATTCTACTTGTTTTAGCAACTATAAGAAAATATTGCATTTACGTAGCCTTGTACTGTAGCTTGCAAAAATAATTATTTGCAGACTATACAATAGGCAACAATTCAGTACCACATAAATAACTTTCTGTACTAACTTTCTTTTATAAGATTATTGTAAAGATTAATATAACTGTACTTTACAAAATCCAAAGTTGTACATAAATATAAAACATAATGCTTAATATGAATTATTATGTATTTATTAATTATGTAATAAATAAAATGTTACAAAAATAATCATTTTTAACATTTCTTTTACAGCACATACTGTACAGTAATGATTCCCCAAAAATGAACTTCAGCAATCATACTAGTGAAAAAAACATTCTTCTTGCTCAAGCAATCATTTATGTACCAGTGTTCTTTATTGGAGTTATCCTAAATGTGTTTGCTTTAAGGATATTCTGTTGCAAACTGATCAAATGGACTGAAACCAGAGTATATATGACCAATTTAGCCATAACAGACTGTCTATTTCTCTTCACTTTGCCTTTCAAGATAGTTTTCAATATTTTATATATATGTGCAATACCTATATACATGAACAAATTGTGCATGGTTTTGGAGATTTCATATTTTATCAACCGATACATGAGCATCTTTCTTATTACCATCATTGCACTTGATAGATACATCGCCATAAGGTATCCTCTCCAAGCAAAGAATATCAGGTCTCCTTTAAAGTCAGCTCTTGTCTGTGGACTTTTTTGGATCATAATTATAAGTATTGTATTTGTATCCACATATTTGGATAAAAAAAAGAGCAAAGCAATTTGCTTTCAAACAAATTACAGAATACCATCAGTGCCTTCTTTTGCCGCAGTAATATGGGGATTTCTTATACCTTTAATTATCCTGAGTTTCTGTTCTGTTCAAATAATTAAAAAACTCACAAGGAAGAAAAAGATCCATCTTCATGAAAAAAAGCTCATTCAGAAAGCAATCAACATAATTCTGGCAAATTTGACCACATTCATCATCTGCTTTTTACCACTTCATGTTGCATATTTCATTATATACATAGATTCGATTAATGCTAGTGATGCTAAACAAAATCTGTCTCTAAAGGTTGTTATTATTCTTGCTAACACCAACTGCTGCTTGGATGCATTTTGTTATTACTTTGTAAGCCAGGAATTTCAGGAGGCTTCTCTAGTATTAAAGACACAGAATCAAGCACCTGAGAATCAAGATACTAAAATTATTTAGGAAAGGCACGCCTCCATGAATAATTCTGATACTTTCAGACCTGTCTGGAATCATCTTCCTCCTAAAAGTTCTTGTTAGAATTTTCTTCGTGCTCTTGATAAAGTACAGCTCTGCCTTCTCCATTAAGGTATTCATATGAAGACAACACATTCCCATGTATATGGCAATATACATTACAAGTTTCAGGAAATCAATTTGAAATGCAGATTCCTTCCTGAAAATGTTGCTGTTTCATTATCTCATCTAATTAATATCGCTTATTGTTTGATTTGTTGCTTTCTTTTTTATATAAATATTTTATTAATTTTCTAGTTTTACAATCAAATACTTAATAAACAACATATTGTCTGGGTCCATTAGTAATTCAGTGGTATATATTAACTTCTTTAGTCTAGATCAGGAGTAGTCAACCTTGGCTCTTTTATGACTCGTGGACTTCAACTCCCAGAATTCCTGAGCCAGCTAAGCTGGCTCAGGAATTCTGGGAATTGAAGTCCACGAGTCATAAAAGAGCCAAGGTTGACTACCCCTGATCTAGATCCAATATTACGCCATCTAATGTTTCCTCTCTTCTTCTGGTGATATCTGTTTTCCCACACTAGGCAAATACAATTTGTTGCTTTCTGATGTATCACATACCTCAAATGTACATAGCATGTGTTTTTGTACCCTATTTTGTACCCTACCTGACCCCCCTTAATAAACACTTTTCACTTTGCCTGATGAACTTGTGATTCATGCTATTGGAAGGAGTGAAAAAGCCACTTTGCAAACTTAATCTGTCTGTTAAATTCAGGGATCAAATTTTGTCAGTTCTATGCCAAACTTGCGTGCCTGAGCTTTAAAGGAACAGTAAGCACGCGAAGTTTCCGTGTATTTGGCTTCCTTTTAGTGGCATATCCAAAATTGTTCTACACAGTAAAGATAACATTTAAAATGTCAATTTTTATTCATACGGCAATAGTATACATCACTTTTCATTAGCTAGAATTTGGATTTTTTAACCATGTATTTAATTTCAAATAGTTCCATATGTGACAAATATTTTCAACTACTCCTGCTTAATGCGAGGTAAGTCAGTAACAAGACTCCTCTTATTTGTGATGTCATAAGCAGCAGGATGACATGGCATGTTTTACCAAATCCTGGCTGGGCAGATGGGGGGGGGGGCTGCCCTCTCAGAAATATATTCAGTCAGGTTTAGGTTTTGCCCCAGCTAAGACCACAGGGCAGGGCTTGTGGTTGTCATCCAGAATCTCTGGTAGCTCTCAAGGCTGTTGCTCCACTAGTTCCCAGTTGTGAGACTCTCTTCCTGAAGTTAGATTCATGGGAGCAGTTGAGATTATTGCTTCTGTACCAGCCTCCCTGTTGCATAGCAATTCCCCTGCTTGAGCTGCTGGAGACAATCTCAGGGCTGGCTGTGGAGTTCCCCAGGCTTCTGGGAGACTTCAACTTGTGGTCCCTGGAGTGGACCTCTAAAGTGGACCTCAGGGGCTGCCACAAAGAAGAGGGAGTCAAGCTATTCTCCAAAGCGTCGGAAGGCAGGACAAGAAGCAACGGATGGAAACTAATCAAGGAGAAAAGCAACCTAGAACTAGGTGAAACTTCCTGATAGTTAGAACAATTAACCAGTGGAACAACCTGCCTCCAGAAGCGGTGAATGCTCCAACACTGGAAGTTTTTAAGAAGAGACTGGACAGCCATTTGTCTGAAATGGTATAGGGTTTCCTGCCTGAGCAAAGGGTTGGACTAGATGACCTCCAAGGTCCCTTCCAACTTTATTATTACTACTACTACTACTACTACTACTACTACTACTACTACTACTACTACTACTACTATTATTATTATTATTATTATTATTATTATTATTATTATTATTATTATTATTATTATTATTATTATTATTATTGGCATTAGAGTTCAAGACCACCATCATGGCCATTGACCTCTCCCAGATCATTTTTGGCCCAACTTGGGACAGTGACCACACTCTGGATGTGGTTTTTTTGTCTGGTAATATGATCTGAGAGAGGAGCTTGTCTTGGCCCCTGTCATAGTCAGATCACACCCTGGTGACTTAGAGGTTCCCTTATGCTCACCCCCTCCATACGGCAGCTGGACCCATTTGATTGGTCCACCCCTGGCAACTAATGGTTCTGCAGAGGCCCTGGTAGTTGCCTAAAATAGTGAGATGGCTGGAGCTGTGCTTTTCTTGGTCCATCACTTAATTACTTCCCCATAGTTCCCAGAGGACTTGAGGCAACTGAAAAGGAAACACTTAGAATGCTATTGGAAGAAAATGAAGAACGAACTTGACCAAACAAGAGCTAGAGCTGCTATCAAGACCTATCTCATAGGCGAAAAACAGCGAAGTGCCGATACTTTTCCACTCTTATTACATTCACAAAATACCACCCAGCACTCATTTATAACTCCTCAGAAAGGGGAGTTTGGGGTCTCATCTGCAGGACCATGCAGATAAATTTTCCATGCATCTGGAGAAAAAAATCATCCATTTGATACCAAATGTGAGAGTCCTGAAGAGATGCCTGGGGAGCGTAGTTATCCAGTAATCTGGGAACAGCTTGATTCTGTCAGACCTGAAGAAGTGAACAGGATCCTCCAGAATGTAAACACCACCACCTATGTGTTAGATCAATGTTCCTCCTGGCTGGTTAAGGCTGCCTGGGAAGTGCTATGTGGGTGAATCCAAGCGATAGTCAATACACCTTTGATGGAGGAGGTATTCCCAGATTCTCAGATTCCTAGAGACTTTGGTGACCGCCTCCTCAAGAAACCATCACTGGACGGACACACCCCACTGTTCTAAAAAGGGTAGGTAGTTCAGAATGCAGTGGAGTTACAACTACATAGGATTCTGGTGGAAACATATTATCTGGACCCTTTTCAGTGAGTTTTCAGGCCTGCATATGGAACAGAAACAGCATTGGTCACATTCATAGATGACCTTTGGCAGGAGCAGGATGAAGGTGGTGCTTCCACCCTTGCTCTTCTTTATCTCCTGGCAGCTTTCCATACTAGCACTGATGATGTGTGTTATCCAGTTTGAGTAATGAAATGTCTGCAAGAAAACAACCAAGCTCAGAAAGCACCAAGGACCCCTCATTTCAACCCTGAGCTACAAATATTCTCTTTATTGGCTTTTTCATTGACCATGGCATCATTTTGGGACAACTTAGGAGTTGGAATTGAGTGGCAGAGTTCTGCATTGGTTCACCTCAGAAGAAAGAGGCCAATCCCAATCGGTATTGATAGGGAATAAGAAGTCCAGTTCATAGTCTCTGCTTTGTGGAACTCCACAGGGCTTGGTGTTTCCTCAGTTCATTTTCAATATCTACATGAAACCACTGGGTGAGATCATCCGTCACCAGGATGCAGTTGATACACAATTATATACAGTATATCCACCCCAGATGAAGTGAGTGATGCTGTGGACATTCTTTCATAGTGCCTGCAGGCTGGGCACCTGTATGGGGAACAACAGATTTCAGATAAATCCTGGTAAAATAGAGTTGCTGGACCCCTCTGCAAGTTTATCTTTGGTCTTAGATGGGGCTGACTATCCCAGACGTATCCAGGGCACAGGGCAGCTGTGGCTAGGAGGGCACCATTTTCACCCTTTCCTGGATAGGAAGGCTCTCTGCTTGGTCACTCATGCCCTTGTCATCTCCTGTCTGGACTGCTGCAATGTACTGTACATGGAGCTATCCTTGAAAAATATCCAGAAGCTTCAGCTGGTACAGAGTGGGCAATCTGGGTGCATGTAACACTTTGCTGCATGAGCTGCATTGGGTGCCAGTTTGCTTCTAAGTCCAATTCAAAGTGTTGGATATGATGTTTAAAGCCCTACATGGCATAGGGCCAGGTTACCTAGAGAACTATCTCCATCATATTGCATCAACATATCCCATTCAGGAAGGAAAAGTATTTTGCAGATCCCATCAGCTAAAGAATTCTGACTGGCAGGGACCAGGAAAAAAGCTTTCTATGCTATTGCCCCTATCTTATGGAGCATTCTTCCTCCAGAAGGGAGGCGGGCTCCCACTCTCCGGGCCTTTGAGAAAGGTGTAAAAACATTTCTGCAGCCTTGCATGGGGCTCAGAGAAGAACATGCAGCTGTGGGATTGGTTAGTGCCCTGAAAGCCCTTCCCCTACTTTTTAATTAACTATTAATATTAACTTTTTAATCCTTCCTAGTATTTTTAAATTTAAATTCCATATACTGTTTTTATGTTTTAATATATTTCACTTGTACATAGCCCAGAATTCTCTCAGTAAAGGAGATGGGTGGTTTTAAAAAAAAAAGATGGATGGATGGGTGGGTGGGTGGAAGGAAGGAAGGAAGGAAGGAAGGAAGGAAGGAAGGAAGGAAGGAAGGAAGGAAGGAAGGAAGGAAGGAAGGAAGGAAGGAAGGCTTCTCTTTCATTATACACAACTTAGGGTTAGACAAACCTCACAATTTAAGCAAAAGAGGAAAGTTTAAGTACACAAAACTGAGGTATTACTTTGATGCTTAGTTAAAATCATTAATATACATCATTAGCAAATTATCATTCCACAGATACAAATCTACTTAACATTATTGCTAAGTCAAAAACATTTCATCCTCACATTTAACACATTAATTATACTTAGAAGTTCAAAATTTAAAAATTACTTTTGACATTTTTTACAGATGGAAACAATTTCTTATCTCTGACTCTTCTACCATCCTTGGTCAGTTAGAGACCATCTGGTTGGATTCAGTTCCTAGTCCTTGCATGAACAAATGCCAGTTGCAACTTGAATTTGTAGTTTTTCCAGGGACATCTTCCTTATTCATATTCTTCCCTTTCTTCTAGTTTCCTTCATCTTCCTAAGCAACATCTCTTTTTCTAGAACATTGTCTACTAACATTATAAATCCAAAATATATGAGTTTCTGCTTATTATTTTGCATTCCACTTTTCTAGGGTTTGAACTTAACTATACAGTATATGTATATACAGTATATACTGTATATACAGTTCCCAATTAAGATAAAACCAGACATGTACTGCCTTCTGGTGGTCAGTCTAACCATCTTGGCTATCCACCCCAGAGATGTGTTTGAACCACCCCACTGTTTCTTCAAGAACTTGGTACCTGACATTCCTCATTTTGCACACACCATACTTTTATTCTTCTTTACTTACAAGATCTTAAGCAAATCACTTTATTGCTAAGGCAAAACTATTGTCACTTTGTGTGTTGAATTAGTGCAGCGATTTGTTACTTTGTACATTGTCTTACATTGTTTTAATGCAGTGGGGGTGTATGTTGTACACCAGCCCCCACACACTCCTTGCAGTCTTTATGCAACACCATCTTGTTCCGTATGAGTTTATGGGATGTCAGTGTCAGTGCTCTCCTGTTTATAAGGGCTTCAGGTGTGGGTGTGTCAAGTGAAGGTCTTGTGATGGGTCTTGTGATATATACACACACATTGTTGAAAATTTGAACACAAATTTCAATCAAATTCTGATATTATATAAATGCCTATATAATATAGATAAGGGCATTTGGAAAGTATGGGAAGAATATTGTAGATCTGATCTTAATGCATACATTTGGAACTGTTCATCAAACAAAATTCCATCTAACTTCTTTTTAGCATTTCATAAAAATGGACTATTTAGAGCAGGGGTGTCAAACTGCCGGCCCGTGGGCCAGACACGTCACAAGGAAACCGCGCCCACCCCATTGCCGGGAAAGGGGAAAAAGTTCCGATACGTTGCGTGATGTCATGTGAGTTTGACATGTCTGATTTAGAGCAGAGGCCCCCAACCTTTTGGGCACCAGGGACCGGTTCTGTGGAGAAAGATTTTTTTCACGGACCGGAGGGGGCGTGGTTTCGTGTGTTACTTGCATCCAGGGGATGGGGCTTCACTTGTTTGTGTGGCCTGGTTGCTGGTATGCTGCGGCCCGGTGCCAGTCCACAGACCAGGGGTTGGGAGCCCCTAATTTAGAGTACAATATCCTTCTAAATTATATTAATCAATATTTTTCTACATTATTGACATTCAGCTATTTTGATAATTACTATAAAATTAACAATTTGCACAAATGTTTTTAAAATAGTTGAAAAAACAGTCAAGAATATTTTGTAATTCATTCTTCTCTTTAATTCTTTTTTTTGGGGGTAACAATCAGATTCACATTTAAAGGTATAGAAAAGGAAACATTTGTAATATTAATATTACCTACTGCCCAGTAGACTCAGTACCTAATGCAACATTTAAAGCAGTCTTTGTCTTCAGATTAAGCATAAGGCTATATACCAATAAAAAGCAAAAATTCGCAACAACAATATATACAGAAAGGAAGGTATTGTAGAACTTCTAAAATAATTCATCAAAATAAAAAGCCTCAAAGAACCTTTCAATCGATGAATGTTTTATTCACATTTCATATAAACAGAATTAGAAGATACCACTAAGATCATCCACTCCAGCACTATTCAGTTAAGTGATCATCCTTTTTTAATTATATGAACAAACTGATTCCTAGGGGATTATGTTACTCCATAATATTTTTGTGGGCAAAAAAATTGAATATGTATATTTAAAAGTATATTTTTTCTTTAAAATTACACATATTATTACCAAATTATGTTTTTAATTTTTTGCATTATTATTTAAAACATTTCATTTTTCTTAACTTCAATGTTTAACAAAGTCTTCATAAAATAATAAATAAAATATGTTTAAATGACATGTAAGAGCAATGTTATTCATATCCTCCTCCCAGAACAAAAGCCTAGTAAAAGAATGAGGATTCTGCTTAAATCATTACTCAGTTTCTAAAACAATAAGTTTTTTCTTAAGAGTTTACAATCTAGCAATATTTAATTTTCAATGAAAATCATTCATTTTTCACTTTATAGTGTACAATTCTCTCGTTTAACAGCATTGCCTAATTTATGGGTTCTAAAAATATGATACACGAATCCAGCGCATTTTGTCAGTTGGGCCACATTTCTAAGCAGTCTAAATAAAAAGTAATTTATAAGATAATTGTGAAATATTGATTGGCTAAGAATGAGAAAATGAAGTTTCCAAACAGCATCTTACAACAGAAAACAAGTGGAGTTAATTATTTTCTTTGTAGCTGTTAATGTATTCAGTCTTCCAAGAAAGTTTGAAAAACAATGGCATTTAAAGGATTAAAATATTTTAAATATTAAGACCCGATTCTATTCTGACTGGAATATATAATGCATATTGTCACATACAAAAATACACATATCAACAATAACCTCTTAGAGAATAACAGATATAGTATTTTATGGAATGCTATTCAGGAAAAAAATATGCTACAATACTTCTATTTCTCTTTTATGATACTATTGTCTGTCTGTCTGTCTATCATTCTTGAATATATTGACAGTTATCTATCTACAATATTCTGTCTGAGACTACAGGCAGACGTAGCCTCTCACTACAACATATGAATTCCGGCTCTCAGGAAAGTGTGAAAAATATAGCAATGAAATAATATCTCAGAAAGTATCAAGAATCACACAGCAAGAGATTCCACTTTTTTTTTTTTTTTAATTTAGGCTTGCGGCAGGAAAAATCTATGAAATTTGGATCCTAACAGACGCCCAACCTATCCCTCAGCGGAGAAGCCATTTCCCGCTCAAAATTCCACTTGAGGATCATCCCAGATTTTTTTTTTTTTTTTAAAAGAACTTGTTTAACCAATCAGCTTCCAGGAGTTAAACAGCCTCCACCAATGAAGAGTAGCAGACTGCAGTAGGGGTGGGCGGTCAGGAACCGTTGCTCTAACGGTCGACAGTTGAGGCCACCCTCAAACGGGAGTTGAACGTCGAACCCTCGAGGGAAAGCAGCGAACCTCGTCATCTTCGTCAGGCACCATGGTGCGAAGTGGAACTTGGGTGGCTGGGCTTCGTTCAGTGGGGATCGGGGTCTTTTAAGCCTCTTGGCATAGTAATGCTATGAGGGAATCGCGAGCGTAGGGTACGAGACTGATATAGTTGCCTCATGCGAACTTTACCGCGGAAGCTTCGCCTCGGTCGAGGCTTCTTGCCTCCGAAAGGCGCGATATGGTCGAGGACAGGGCTTGCCTGGCTGCATTTGCCTGGCTTGCCTGGCGCTGTATTTGGCAAAGCACGAGGGCTGAAAGGCCCTCCGTCTCGGATTCGCCATGATGCGGAACGGGGGGAAAAAAATGGGGAGAATATAATAGTCTTGGTTCTGAAGAACAGTGAACCAACAAGAAACGAAAGAGATCTGTTGCATAGAGTCCCATTTATTTGGCATTACGAGAGGCCGGCGAAAGAGAGCTGTATAATAAAGTAAAAAGTAGCGGGAAGTAATGGCGAAAACGTATTATGGGATTGAAGTATGAGGTTACTGCATAATTCAAGTTGAGACAAAAGAGATTTTATATAATCGCGTAGTAGGTACAGAAGTATAATGTGTTTAGTGGGCTCTCGCAGTGTTTCTCAACCTTGACAATTTTAAGGCATGTGGACTTCAACTCCCAGAATTCCACAGCCAGCATTGCTGCTGTGGAATTCTGGGAGTTGAAGTCCACATGCCTTAAAATTGTCAAGGTTGAGAAACACTGAGAGAAAGCACACTCCTTAGTATTAAACCGTTTTCAGAGACCATTTTTTAAGCTTGGGTGTTCTAAGGGCAATTGATCATTAAAATAGTGCATATTTTAAAATATACTTTAGAAATCAAATGGGTACATTATAAAAATATAGAGCTGGGTCAGTATTCATTTTTTGTGGTGCTTCATTATTAATATTTTCTGAAATAAGCATTAATCATGCCTGTTTTAAAAAATTACAATTTTTTTAATAGCGCGAATGTATCTCTATCCACGTTGGACAAGCTGGAGTTCAGATTGGTAATGCTTGCTGGGAATTATATTGTCTTGAGCATGGAATTCAGCCAGATGGTCAGATGCCCAGTGACAAAACCATAGGAGGTGGAGATGATTCTTTTAATACATTTTTTAGTGAAACCGGTGCTGGCAAGCATGTACCTAGAGCTGTTTTTGTGGACCTTGAGCCAACTGTTGTGGGTATGTATAAGAGGTTGGAAATATGTTTCAAATGTGGGATCAACATGTGGATGATCAGAAACAAATCACATTTATAAAATATTTTCATTATTCAGAAGTAAGAAAAATAGGGATTTCTTCCTAAATAAACCTGAAATTTGATGAAAGCAATTATAAAATCATCCCTCACAAAGTGAAGTTTGACTTTCACACATTGACTTTATGAAATGAAATCCAATTGTACCTTCCGTTAACAAAAATGGTAACATAGGAAGTGATTTCATTTACCCTCTCTTCCCTTAGCTTCCATTATGATTCAAAATTTATTCTCAACACTAAATCACATTTTGAGGGTGCATGAGGAGAAAGTTCCATTTTGTTAGTGGAAGTACAATATAATGGTTTGGAATGTAGCCTTTATATGAATATGTATTAAAAAGAATAACAAAAGTTCACTCTTCATTTTTTAAATGTTTTTTTTTTCTTACCAAGAAAAAACATTGATGTAGCCATATAGTCATCTGAAGTTGCGGCAGGCATTATCTCTTGAACTAACACATATTTTCATGCTGAGAGTCTTTTATCTGTCTGTGTATGGTTAATTTTAATTCCTGCAAAAAGAAACCCTATCTTTTGTTCAGAAATATTAGCCAGAAATGACCTCATAAGTATCTAAAGTGTTCTAAAGTATGTAATGGTTTTGGATAATGTGAAAATATAATCGTATATATGCTTAACAAGGAATAAGAACAGTTGAATCACTTCTAACTCGGTTATTCTATTATATACATTTCTGAGATTTTGGAATATTAAAAATAATAAATCACTGGATTTTGAATTAGAATTAATCAAAGTTTCATTTTTTTAATCTTCAAAGATGAGGTGCGTACAGGTACTTACAGACAATTATTTCATCCTGAGCAACTCATCACTGGAAAAGAAGATGCTGCTAACAATTATGCTAGAGGCCATTATACTATAGGAAAAGAGATTGTTGATCTAGTGCTGGATCGCATTCGAAAATTGGTGAGTTATTATAAGATGTAAATTAGAAAATATGTGCAAAAATATGAAATGTGAAAATTTACCATTTTAAACTCAAGAGCATAGAAATTCTAGTTTTATTTTCAAAAGTACCATGTTTAAAAAATACTCAGTCTGTTTAAGTAAGGAATGCATATTTAGAATTTAAGTATACTATATTAATTTTTAATTTAATTAATTAAAACCCTTTGAAGGGTATTGATAATGCAAATATTTTTAAATGAATACAGTTGCAAATAATATCTACATATTAAATTTATATTGTTGAAATTATTCTGTTCAATGGCTCACTTTTTGTTGGGTTTTTTGTCTTTTTGTAGGCTGACCTGTGTACTGGTCTACAGGGTTTCCTTATTTTCCATAGTTTTGGCGGAGGTACTGGCTCTGGATTTGCATCTTTGCTAATGGAAAGACTGTCAGTTGACTATGGGAAAAAATCCAAACTGGAATTTGCAATATACCCAGCTCCACAAGTATCTACTGCTGTGGTGGAGCCTTACAATTCTATCCTTACTACACATACCACATTGGAACATTCTGACTGTGCATTCATGGTGGATAATGAAGCTATTTATGATATATGTCGACGCAATCTTGACATCGAACGTCCAACTTACACCAACCTCAATCGTCTCATTGGTCAAATTGTATCTTCTATCACAGCTTCACTACGTTTTGATGGTGCTCTGAATGTAGATTTGACAGAATTTCAAACAAATCTTGTTCCTTACCCACGAATCCATTTCCCCTTGGCAACGTATGCTCCTGTCATTTCAGCTGAAAAGGCATACCATGAGCAGTTGTCAGTGGCAGAAATTACTAATGCTTGTTTTGAGCCAGCTAATCAGATGGTAAAATGTGACCCTCGCCATGGTAAATATATGGCATGTTGTATGCTGTACAGAGGTGATGTTGTGCCAAAAGATGTCAATGCAGCTATTGCAACAATCAAGACAAAACGTACTATTCAGTTTGTGGATTGGTGTCCAACTGGGTTCAAGGTACTATATTGTCTAATATAAACAAATGAAGTATAATCTTGGTGAAATCCAATGATTTGGCTGGAACTTAATATAAAAAAATAATAAAAGCAAGATAGAAATATAATCTAATACATAAATAAGATTGCATTTAGTATCCACATGAAGGGAAATACAGTTTTTTCTTGTCCAGATTAGATGATAAGATGCTCCTAGTTCTGGAAATGTTGATCAGCGTTTATTTATTGGTTAACTAATATTTGTGGTGCTAAGTATAGAGTATATGTAGTATATTCAAGTATATGAAACTTTTGAGTAGGTGTTTTAAATTCTTTTACGATTTTTAAAAATAACTGGAGATAGCAAACACACCGAATAGTCCTCCCTCTAATTGCTGTACAACAACCCTTTGAGATGGATTAGGCCAGGGCTTTTCAACCTTTTTCACCCATTGTGCCACTTTTAGGATATGGCAACATCCAAGTACCACCAGTCGCCTAGCAAGGTGTCAAAAACTTGATGACCCCCCCAAAAAGGAAAAAAATGATAAAGTACAGGTAGTCCTCGACTTACAATAGTTCACTTAGTGACTGTTCGAAGTTACAATGGCACTGAAAAAAGTGCCCCCCGAGCCACAGCCGAGCAAGGCAGCACTCTTCCTCCTGTCCGAGGTTTTCATTGTTGTGAGCATTTCTGTTGAGGATTGGCAGCAGGGGTGGGGGGCAAGGGAGTGTTTGGTTTTTATTCCCCCCGTCTGCTGGGTGGTGGCAGCAGGTTTTGGTCACTTCACATGACCCTGGGACACTGACTGTCATAAATATGAACCAGTGGTACCCATACCACTGCTTGAAAAGCCTTGGATTAGGCTGTGAGAGTGGGACTAACCTAAAGTCACCCAGCTGGTTTTCAGTGAAGTAAATAATGTCATTACATGAACAGTCATTTCTTTACAAGATAGATGGCAAATAAATTCAATAAATGCATTTTCAATTATTAAACTCTGGTACTTAGGATAAATAATCTGTATTCTAAAAGCTAGTGTGCTTATTAGAGTTTAAGTATGTTTAAGGGAATTAAGACTTAATTCCATTTATTAATGTATCTCTGTCATGATAAAAGTGAGGCTATTTGCATAGATTAGGGGTTTTATTTATGAGGTATATGTGAATACGTTCTCTTTCCAGCTTTAGCTCCCTTTCTGATTCGAAGATAGTTTCATGTCTAATTTTTTGTTTCTCATTATGCTTTTATCAACAAAATGCTCTGGAGGGAGAGAAGAAGTTGAGATTTGAAAATTCCTTGCACTATTGAGAGAAATTTAATGAATGTTTTTGCCTTCCTTTAGGTGGGCATTAATTATCAGCCACCCACTGTGGTACCAGGAGGAGATTTGGCCAAGGTGCAACGTGCTGTATGTATGCTGAGTAACACTACTGCAATTGCAGAAGCTTGGGCTCGCCTTGATCATAAATTTGATTTGATGTATGCTAAGAGAGCCTTTGTGCATTGGTATGTAGGGGAAGGAATGGAAGAAGGAGAATTTTCTGAAGCCCGAGAGGATCTGGCTGCACTTGAAAAAGATTATGAAGAAGTTGGTGTTGATTCTGTGGAAGCTGAAGCTGAAGAAGGAGAAGAATATTAAGCTATGTCAGATGATATATATTTCAATATTTTGTACTTCAAGTTCACTTGTTCGGTTACAAATAAACTTTTAAGTGTTCAAGTTTAATAGCTATTATTTAAAATAGCTTTAAAACCATTCCTTGAAAACATTTCTATAAACTTTGAGCAAAGCATAAAATAAAAGTTTTCTGTAAAACTACGCCTCAGAAACATATCCATCCATTCTTTATTTCCCCCTTTCATTCTTACAGGATCTTTGGAGAACTTATTAAGTAAGTATTCTGAAATAGTCATTAAAGTGTTATTGCATCTTAGCATGTATGTATATAATGAAAATGATAATTGGGATGTCATTGATTGTGTAGGTGGAATTTTATGTTAATTAAAGTAATGTGAATAAGAAAATCTTGTTGCAATCTAATCAATGGATTTGGTCTAATCTTCACTTTATCCAATGCATTTTCAGAATAGGGAGATTATAAAATAATACAGTATTGCAGCTTTACTGGTCTTTACTATGTGAAAATTAAAGCTGATTATAATTAATCAACTCTAAGCATATTAATCCTAAGAGACACTAACACAAACTTGATTTACATTGAAAGAAATATTTTGGTACTTATATTCTGCTAGCTGATTAACATCTTAAAAGTTTAAGTCCAGCAGTAACAAATTTTGTAATAAACTCTTAGCTATATCAGATTTCAAATTTTTCTATCACTTAATAGTAAAGGCCTGAAAATAGAATAGCATGACAGCCTGAAGTGATGTAGTCTATTTAATTGGATTACAAAAAAAATGAAATTGATTGGTTTGATCAGTTCCATGGTAAAATTAATTTATGTGCATGCATTAACTATCTTAAATTACAGATAACATAATAACTAGACTTACATATATTTATTGAGAAGCCCTATTCAGTTCATTGACCTTTATTTTCAAATCAAGGAATTGTACTATTTCTGTCCTATTTCCTCACAGATATGCAAAAACAACCTTGATTGCATTATTTCTTATTAGGCCATGTTTAGCTGTACAGACCTCATACTGATTTTCATTTGGGATGATGGTTTGGAATTGAAAGTGTCAACTTCCCCTCCTCCCCCCCCCCCCATCACCACCCAAGTGAGCCAGGATGGGTCAGTTGAGTTCTTAATACCATCACCTTTTCAGGATTAAAGTAATGTTTCTGTCCTTTTTGCTTAAATGTTTTCTGAATATTTGCTTCAAGGCCATTTCCCTGGCTCTCTACACTGAGGGCTTTGTCAAGCAAATATATGTCTGGAATATTGCCACATAAATAATAGCATTCATTTTTTTAATCAATACATCCTTTTTACATTTAGGGGTTGGTATATTAGCTTCAATGTATTACAAGCTGGAGGGCCTGAACAATTAAATAGATATATGGTAGCTAGTTTAATTACAATATTGTACTCAACACATTGTTGGCATTGGTTCCTCATTAAATTGGAAACTTAAATAGAATACTATAAAGTTCAATCCTGTCCTTACTCCAGTAAGTAGTAGTGTGAAGAGGCAGAGATGCTTATCAAATCTGCAGATGAAGTTAAATTGGGTGTAATAGGGTAGGGTTTTCAAATTTTAGGCTATGGAATTTTTCTAATTCCCTGGAATGCCTGATCAACAGGCAAAACTTTAGTGGCTGAAAATAGGTTATATTTGGGTGAACCTTTTCCCCCTTTAGTCTCAGAATCCTATCTATATATTCCTGATGAGATGATTTTTGAAACCCTTAAATCCTCACAAATTTTTTTCTTGTTAATACATGACTGCTCATTCCATAATACTGGTCTGCATGGATTGTCACGAGAAGTCAATTTTGTATTTCAATAGCATAGCTATATTGTGTTATTTGGAAAATGTGATAGTGTATGTAAATCCTTTATATAGTGCTTTTCCTATTGCTTTACTATTAAGGCTACAGCACAGTTCTTTCTTGTGTTTCATTTAACTCACACTGTTTAACTTTCATGACCTCAAGTTCAGTGCCTTATATGGCAATAGCTGAAAATTCAAATTAAAAATATAAGGCTGGTAAAGAATGAAATAATGAAAAAACTCGATTACCACAATTATGTGCCCTCAAGTCTGTCATCTATAATAATAATAAAGTTGGAAGGGACCTTGAGGTCATCTACTCCAACCTCCTGCTCAGGTAGGAAACTCTATATTTCTGACAAATGGCTGTCCAATCTCTTAAAAACTTCCAGTGTTGGAGCATTCACAACTTCTGGAGCCAGGTTGTTTCACTGATAAATTATTCTGTCAGCCAAATATCCACCAAATAAATCTCCCAAGTTGATCTGAGCCAATCTGACCATTTAGATTTTCTAATTAAACACCCATTACTGCTATGATTGAATCNCCAAGTGAGCCAGGATGGGTCAGTTGAGTTCTTAATACCATCACCTTTTCAGGATTAAAGTAATGTTTCTGTCCTTTTTGCTTAAATGTTTTCTGAATATTTGCTTCAAGGCCATTTCCCTGGCTCTCTACACTGAGGGCTTTGTCAAGCAAATATATGTCTGGAATATTGCCACATAAATAATAGCATTCATTTTTTTTAATCAATACGTCCTTTTTACATTTAGGGGTTGGTATATTAGCTTCAATGTATTACAAGCTGGAGGGCCTGAACAATTAAATGGATATATGGTAGCTAGTTTAATTACAATATTGTACTCAACACATTGTTGGCATTGGTTCCTTATTAAATTGGAAACTTAAATAGAATACTATAAAGTTCAATCCTGTCCTTACTCCAGTAAGAAGTAGTGTGAAGAGGCAGAGATGCTTATCAAATCTGCAGATGAAGTTAAATTGGGTGTAATAGGGTAGGGTTTTCAAATTTTAGGCTATGGAATTTTTCTAATTCCCTGGAATGCCTGATCAACAGGCAAAACTTTAGTGGCTGAAAATAGGTTATATTTGAGTGAACCTTTTCCCCCTTTAGTCTCAGAATCCTATCTATATATTCCTGATGAGATGATTTTTGAAACCCTTAAATCCTCACGAATTTTTTTCTTGTTAATACATGACTGCTCATTCCATAATACTGGTCTGCATGGATTGTCACGAGAAGTCAATTTTGTATTTCAATAGCATAGCTATATTGTGTTATTTGGAAAATATGATAGTGTATGTAAATCCTTCATATAGTGCTTTTCCTATTGCTTTAGTATTAAGGCTGCAGCACAGTTCTTTGTTGTGTTTCATTTAACTCACACTGTTTAACTTTCATGACCCCAAGTTCAGTGCTTTATATGGCAATAGCTGAAAATTCAAATTAAAAATATAAGAGGCTGGTAAAGAATGAAATAATGAAAAAACTCGATTACCACAATTATGTGCCCTCAAGTCTGTCATCTATAATAATAATAAAGTTGGAAGGGACCTTGAGGTCATCTAGTCCAACCTCCTGCTCAGGTAGGAAACTATATTTCTGACAAATGGCTGTCCAATCTCTTAAAAACTTCCAGTGTTGGAGCATTCACAACTTCTGGAGCCAGGTTGTTTCACTGATAAATTATTCTGTCAGCCAAATATCCACCAAATAAATCTCCCAAGTTGATCTGAGCCAATCTGACCATTTAGATTTTCTAATTAAACACCCATTACTGCTATGATTGAATCCATCCCACTTTGCTATTAGTCATTCTTTTCTTCTTTCACCTTTTTTAGGGTTATAAACTTTTCAAGAGAACTAGGTACATAGTACATCCAAAATATAATTTCTGGCTGATAAGTACAATTGCTGGGAAAAACTGAAAAACCTTCAAACATTTGTTTCTATAAAACCCTCAAAATAAAAAGTCCTCCAGGAAAACAAAAGGCAATTTAGTAAAATATTTTATTATCTCATGTTTTCCTAGATAAAATATACAAAGCATTAAATGTTTACTTTCATCCCAGAGCAGCTTTTCCCAAGCAAATGTCCATCCTTCAAAGGTATAACACCTGAAAGACTCCCAAGTAGGTTGGAGATGGCTATTCCATAGTAATAATGTTCTGACTCTTAAAATCTTTAGTTTTTTCTTTTTTTTAAAAAAAAAAAAAAAGCATTATCATCATGGTTTGGGTTTTCCACAATTTAACACAATGATCAAAGAAAATTACTGGTTGAGATAAAATTAGTGGAAAATATTATCAAAGCAAGGTTTAAATATTAAGTTGGGAAAATATTTTATTAATACTGCACTCTTGTATACATTTTATACAGTATACTCAGCAGATGTTCTTACAAAGAAGTAGCTCACACAATATTGTCTGTGAAAAAGGCCAAAAGACACAAAAACAATATGTCAAAGTTTTCTATTCCAGCTTTTCTTGTGCTTTTTTCCTTTATCTTCCCTGCTCCCAGCTCTAGACTTAAAGGACATCACGTATTCTGAAAAGGCTATACTATATTATGTTTTTTTTATTATCACTCTTCACTATGAAAAATTAATGAAAATTAATATATAAAGCACTGGCCCAGTATTAAACACCAGTGAAATAACAATTTAGCAATAACTATGATAGGGGTTTTTTTTCTTAGAAATTTTCTTACAAAAAGAAAGAGAAACAAAACCCAAGATACAAAAACATCTAAGTGGCGGTTCTCACAGTGGCTGGCAAATTGCTGTATCAACCACAAAAGTATTTGCAAAATGGCGAATGTGATGACACTTCTCAGTAGCTCGTTGATGGATATCTGGAAAAAGAAACCAGAAAAGAAAGTCAAATTAGTAGGTGTTTCTTAGAGACAAAAGAAAAGAAATGCAATCATTTAACTTCTAAATTAAGTATGTAGAAATAAGAGCACAAAAACAATGCAAATCATAGAAAGGGTCACAAACATTACTAATATTGTCATGTATTAAACCCAGTTCTCAAAAGCTGTTTTCTCACCTTACATGATTTACATAGAATAAAATGTTCTGATCCAAATACAGTCAAAATATAACAATTTGTTACAGAAGCAGCATCTAGACAAACTTTAAAAAGAAATGAAAAGTACATTTTTAAC